TCCGTGACATGGGCTATCATGTCAGTATGATGGCTGACTCTACCTCTAGATGGGCTGAGGCCCTTAGAGAAATCTCTGGTCGTTTAGCTGAAATGCCTGCAGGTAAGTCTTTGTATTGCTTATCGTGTAAGTAAGACTGATAGGATTTGGGGGGCTGGCTTAGAACCTCTCTTTTTAAATTTCTTTTCCTTTTTCAGATAGTGGATATCCTGCATATCTTGGTGCCCGTCTGGCCTCTTTTTATGAGCGAGCAGGCAGGGTGAAATGTCTTGGAAATCCTGAAAGAGAAGGAAGTGTCAGCATAGTAGGAGCGTAAGCACACAAACTGTTTACTTTTCAAAAGGGAAAAAGCCATTTATTTTAAAGAGAGAATATTTAGCCTCCTTTGGGAACAGTGGTTCTTAATAGGGGTTGTACTCCAGTGTCACCTAAGGAACTCTTTGAACATACACATGTTTAGGTCATCTCTCTATGTTCTGGTTCAGTAGGTTTGACTTCAGTGATTTGTTATATTCAAGTCACAATATCTTAGGAATAATTTAGAAAGTTATAGACATATTAAGGTGAGGTTACATCATGATAAAAACAGTAAAGTTGCCTGATCACTGCATAGAGCCATACTTTGTTCTTAGAGCTTTTCCCACCTTCCTGCTTTATCTATTTGATTAGAATAATGAAACTGATTATAATAAAATATCTGTCTCATTTCTCATACCAGAAGGTGTTCAATAGTTGTTATTCTTATTTGCAACTTAAATACTGGCATTTGTTTAAAATTGTATTTCTAAAGGTCATTTCTAAAGTTATTTACATTTAAATTGACTTTCAAGAAATTGACTTATATATTTCTAATGATTGCATTTTTTTTTTTTTTTTAATTTAGAGTTTCTCCACCTGGTGGTGATTTTTCTGATCCAGTTACATCTGCTACTCTTGGTATTGTTCAGGTATGTCTTTCCCTAGGGTAGTCAACTTCTGAACCTTCTCCCTCTGCCTCCCTCCTCGTGCTAATGTTATCTAATGTAATTGTTGTGAAGCATTTAGTTTAGTCTCTGAAGACTAGGCAATGGTAAAGTCTGTTTCAGGAACATTCTTAACAATGAGAGCCTTTAATACTCTGTTTTTTTCTTAGCTCTTTACCTGGGATTTTTTAATAAACAATATGTAAGTGGGAAATACATCTAGGTAGCAAAGTTTTATTAGTTAGAGTAATACTGCCCTTCAAGTTAGAGTAACCCTAGTTATAGAAACAAATATAACAAATATAAGTGTAATGGCAAAACTCAGAAGTTTATTTCTCCTCACAATACAGTCCAGGGCTCCTTCCATCTTTTGGCTCTACCATCACATAGCCTGGTAATCATCTGCATCTGGCTGGCACAACTGGAAACTATAGGCTCAAAAATGACTCAGTCACTCCACTCATTCTATTAGCCATACCAGATGACAGCAAGGATGGAAAAGTGGAGTTTCAACCCATGTGGTGGCTTCCCAGTTACAAGGCGTGAATTTTAGTGGCTACGTATCCAGATTGGCCATTAAAAGAAGCCTAAATAAAAGATGTATACAAATCAGAGTTACAGTTAAAAAAAAAAGAAGGTTGATATATTTATATGAATATGTACATTATTTGTATGAGAAAAACAGAATATTTACCTATGTTTCTGTCATAATCAGGTAAAAAGAAATGGCAGAGGCTAAATTTACAACTCTCAAGGTCTTTAACATTTGCTAAAATTTTGAGTTTTAAATTGTGGGGAAAGAGAGAGCAAAGTTAGGAATGCATAAAATATCTGTAAATGTTTGGCTTCAGAAAAATCATTGTCAGATCTTATTGGATTGGCCCTTAGTGGTGGAAAACTGAATTTAATTTAGAGGTTTTTAATCCAAGTGAGGTGTCTATTCCATCTAAATAAACCTCTTCAGGTTCATCTGTTTATATTGATTGTACATTAATAATCTCCTAAAGGGTCAGTTGTTACTTTTGCTATCAGATTTGACATACTATTAAGGAAATTCAAATAAATTTTGAATTTGATTTGTAGTTATTACCCACCCTAAAAATGCAAAGACTACATTTTTAATTGACATTTCCTGAAAGTTTTATTCTATTTCAATTACACTTGGTATGTGCTGAAAGGATATATAATTTGACCAATAAATTGTAGGGTTACATATATAGGAAAAAGAAATATATTTCATTTTTTTAAATTTTTGTTTTTTAAGAAAAATTACTGGTTTTGTTTTGTGTTTTTTAATCAGGTGTTCTGGGGCTTAGATAAGAAACTAGCTCAAC